AGATGATATGCAAATGACTAGATCGCCCCATATTGTGAGCACAGTGCTCTGTGACTGTTAAGAAATCCAGAGCCCTAACCGGTTTGGCTCAGTGGATAGAGCAGGGGTGGGCAAACTTTTTGACTCGAGGGCCACAATGGGTTCTTAAACTGGACCGGAGGGCCGGAACAAAAGCATGGATGGAGTGTTTGTGTGAACTAATATAAATTCAAAGTAAACATCATTACATAAAAGGGTACGGTCTTTTTTTTTTTTTAGTTTTATTCATTTCAAACGGGCCGGATCCGGCCCGCGGGCCGTAGTTTGCCCATGGCTGGGATAGAGTAACAGCCTGCGGACTGAAAGGTCCCACGTTCGATTCTGCTCAAGGGCATGTACCTTGGTTGCGGACACATCTCCAGTAGGAGGTGTGCAGGAGGCAGCCGATCAATGATTCTCTCTCATCATTGATGTTTCTATCTCTCTATCCCTCTATCTTCCTCTTTGAAATCAATCAATATATATATATATATCCAGAGATAAAGTACTGAGTCGAACCGGGAAAGGCTGTCTGATTTTCAGGAGAGATGAAGGATCACCGACTCCCGCTCCCAGGCAGCACGCTGCCTAGCAATGGATAGACAAAGCGGTAGGTCCATGCTTGTAACATCTAACAACTGGAACATTCTCACAGTCTCACACTCAGGATTGTAAATGTCAGAATGAATTACATACTGTCTTAACTTAGTGTTGCAGCTCAAGATAAGAAACCTTAAGTATGGCTGCCTCTGAAATGGTGCTTACCACAGCAGCTCCGGAATCCGGGGGGATTACCCGTGAAGATAATGAACTGGAGAAGGGGGCCAATGGGAACTTTAGGAAAGAATGAAACAGAATTTCAAATTTCAGAATTGATAGGGCCAAAATTAAACAAGATTATACATGCTAAGTTGGTATTACAATGTAGACAAACAGGGTAGTTTCAGGGCTGAATTTACATGGTGCTTCATTTTAAGGGTTCAGCCTCTCACATATATTGGTTCAAAAAATTGGTGGATCTTTTGTTCACAGTAAAAACCCACAAGAAAGAGATTAGTAAAATACTGCCTCATTAATTTTATACACCGCATGTGGAAACCTAGCACTTAGAGGACATGCTCCCACATTTTAACCTACAGCACTTTAATACAACCTGGTAATTTCTTTTCAAATTGTAAGAGAATGATTATTTAGAAAGTTACAGAGGTAGTAGAAGTGAGCCAGCTGGGCTGCGTGGGCTCAGGAAACAAGTTACAGAGGCAGGAGAAGGGCCCTTGGAGCTTAGGAGAGAGAAA